ATGATCTTGTAAGATCATATTACAAGATATCACAAGGTTTCACAAGAATCGTGGTTTAAGAATCTTATAAAATTTCACAAGATTTTTCTTGCAAAAATATTTCGTAAGACTCTAGAAGATATTATGATAAGAACTTGTGTGATCGTGCAAGAAATGTTTTTCATAAGTTCATATAAGAATTCATTAGATCTTACATGATTATGTCTCCGGTTCTGTGCTATAGATTTCTTCTAGGCTCTTAAAAAAAAGTCTTTTTCTTTTCATAATATTTCCGAGCATAGGGAGGATCCTGACATCCTTAGGAACGTGTCGAACCACGTTTCTTATGGCCATGTACTTTATCACCCAGGTCCAGGAATCGTACGAACAGGTCCTACAAGATCAGATACGATCGGACATGATCATACTGTATGTTCGTACATGGAACGATATGATCCTGAATAATCGTATTGCTTCATACATATGATATGGCACGATCGACCTACTAATCGTGTGGTCCCTGAAGAGTCATAGGGTTCGGATTAGAGGATTCGTACAACAATTTCCGATCACCGGAAATTAACGAATCCGACTGGTTCCGGACATTGGATCCTCCAGGAACCAAATATCAGAACGCGAAGAACTTGAGAAGATTCCGATCTCGGGATTTGATTAGACGCTCGATCTCCGGAAATCACTGGAATTAAAAGGATCCGATCAGGCAAATTCGACCTTGGGTACGACTGAAATATCAGATATAAAATTAAAAAAAGTTATTAAAATCCGATATATGGAAGAAGAGTTATAAACAGGACCATGAACTTTGCTAGAACGATACTTCTATTGTTCTTTAAGCTCTTTCTCGCTTCGCAAAAGAAACGGCCTCAAATTATAACATAAAATAATCGGGACTAAACATTTACAGCTCTAGCATCTTTCCAATCAAGATCATGAGCTCACTCTTACCGAACATAACTTCTGATACTATTCTAACAAATCATTTTAAAGTGAGAGATATATAAAGTTTAAAAAATTTGAGATAGAAATGTTCAACAGCTCAATAAACTATACTATTCATACCTTGACTTTGGTAGACTTGATTACTCACCTGAAAATATGAACAAAGTACCAGCCAAAACCCCTGTGATTGCACCTAATGGATTAAATGCTTGTGCAAAATTTAGTCGTTGTTCCGATGTATCATTATCACCTAATTCTGCTATAAATGGATTTGATGCTGTTTCTAAAAATGATAGGCCACTAGCAATAATAAATAATGATAATAAAAATACCGAATAACGATGAATTAAAGCTGCTGGCCAAAATAGAAAACAGCCTAAACTAAATAGACTTAAACCTACAAGAAAACCAACTTTATAACCAAATTTTTGCATTAAAAGTCCAGCTGGCATAGCTAATAAAAAATAACCCATATAAAATGCTGATTGTACAAGTCCAGCTTGAAATCGTGATAATACAAATGATTTTGAAAATTGACGAATTAAAACATCATTTAATTGATTTGGAATACCCCATAAAAAAAATAAAAATGTTATAAGAAAAAATGGTATTAAATGACCATATGGAAATAATGTTGAATTTTTCTTGTTAATTGTTGGTTCTTCTATCACGAGAGGTGATGGTGATGCTAGTGTTGGTTCCATCGTTACACTCATTTAATATTGTCTGTAAAATGAACACAAAAAATAAAAGTATTTTATAAATTTTATAACAAGAAAGTTTTCTCTATTCCTTTCTACTCTTTACCTATTTTTCTAACGTTAGCTAAAATGAATAGATGATGACATCCATTTTCTTATCGTCAATTCGAAATGTAAATGTAAACAATACTACTGCAAAAGGTAACGAAAAGGTTAAAATATATTTCTTTTTCATTTTGTGTGTATTTGTGTAAATTTTTCTTTATTCTAAAATCTGTTTTTCTTTTTTTTTTTTC